TCTCTTTTTCTAGCTACAGCCGCAGCCAGCAACACCCCCTCCTCCTCCGCCTGCCTGGCGGTCCTCGCTCCCGCCGGCGAGCATGGCGACCCACAAGCTGGTCCTCCTCTGAGCACCCTCACCAACCAGCTCTCTCTACATCACGCTTGTAACCACGCTGCCACTTCCCAGCACCAAGCTGCATTGTACATCCAATACAATATGTATACAGTGAGCACATTGTGAGTTTCCTTTCTCCATCCCATCCTGAGTGTGAACCCAAACATCCCATACCCCACAGTTCATACCATTACTCAAATTCATGTTCAACAATAACTGCGTGTTTTGTGAGCTACAGCTAGCTATATATCAGCAAGATTTCCCTCGTTAATATATGGCTGACACTGACTGACCCCGTTTGCTAAAAACAAATGAGAACTAAATGTTCTTCCTATTGTAATCGTTAGAAACCCCAAGGACTATAGAAGTACTGTAATGTGAAGAGAAAGTGCAGTATGACCATTCAGAGAGTCGTTTCAAATCTAAACTTTTGTAAAACCTTTTTTTTTTTATCCTCTTCGCCACTGATCGGCTCACTAGCCGCCCGGGCGATCGGTCACGTCTCTGTCACGCACTGTTGGCAAGTACTGGGCATGCACCGGCTCCTGGATGTACCTGAACCCGCTCCACTTTTACTTTTTTTTACTTTTATCCTCTTCGCCACTGATCGGCTTGTTAGCCGCTTGGGCGATCGGTCACGTCTCTTTTCCTTTATATTCTTCACCAAAAGGTCGGCTCGCTAGCCGCCCGGGCGATCGGTCACGTCTCTGTCACGCACTGTTGGCAAATACTGGGCATGCACCGGCTCCTGAATGTACCTGAACCCGCTCCAGTGTTGGTCAAGTCTTCTCTTGAAAGAGCTCACACTCGGTGCCGTCACAACACTCTCTGGTAGATTGTTCCAAGAGTTTACAACCCTCACTCCGAAAAAGTTTGCCCTCACGGTTTTCTGGACTTGCGGCTTCTTCAATCTTGAGCTGTGACCCCTTGTGGGGCGAGCGTCCGCCAGCTCCAAGTAAGGACACTCAACTGAGTAGTGCCCCCTGAGATGCTTATAAACCTCAACTAGGTCCCCCCTTGCCCGTCTGTAGTATAAGCTAGGCAAGTTCAGGCGCTCCAATCTCTCAGGGTAGCTGAGGTACCGAAGTGCAGGCACCAGTTTGGTGGCCCTCCTTTGAACATTTTCAACCAATTGACAGTCCCTAGCATATCTCGGGGACCAGACGGGGTGACAGTACTCCAGATGGGGAAGCACTTCACTCCTGAAGATCGTCACGAGGGACAGACCGTCTAGATATCTGAACGACCTTCTTATAAGACCCAATAATTTATTTGCCTGATTTACCTTCTTCTCACAATGGCCCGAGAACTTCAGCTCATTGTCAACATACACACCTAGGTCCTTCTCACACACAGTCTCAACTAGTACATTTTCTTCATCCTGTTGGGACATATGGTACGCCTCCTTACCGTTGGTACGCCCCAGGTGCATCCTCTTACACTTCGTGACATTGAATCTCAGCAGCCATTCCTTCGACCATTCCTGGAGCCCACAGAGGTCCTTCTGCAGCTCTTCACAGTCCGCTTGGTTCTTAATTTCCCGAAATAACTTGCCATCATCGGCAAACATTTGTATGGAGGAGTGTACAACGTTGGTCAAGTCTGGTCTTGAAAGAGCTCACACTCGGTGCCGTCACAACGCTCTCTGGTAGATTGTTCCAAGAGTTTACAACCCTCACTCCGAAAAAGTTTGCCCTCACAGTTTTCTGGACTTGCGGCTTCTTTAATCTTGAGCTGTGACCCCTTGTGGGGCGAGCGTCCTCCAGCTCCAAGTAAGGACACTCAACTGAGTAGTGCCCCTTGAGATGCTTATACACCACAACTAGGTCCCCCCTTGCCCGTCTGGATCTGCCCCTGCATTAACTCACAGGATGGAGCACTAGGATCAAAAACAATTGACGCAAAATAGTGAGGAAACGTCGTAGAGGTGTCTTGGAAATGTCTAAATTACTGTTTACGACGAAAAAAATATCACAAGATTCGGTTGGTGGCAACAAATACAATAATAGCTTAGTTTTCTGATTTTCAACTCTTGATATATCGGTTATAAGTAAAAAGCGCCAAAAGTGTCATAAATAAAAATCGTCTTGTTTTTGTCAGAACTTATTATTAGCAACATAAACTCCTCCAATATCCTGTACTATAAATTGACCATTTTAGCACACACAGGGCGCCAGGCTGCCAGCCCCAGTTTACGGCGTTCTTGTCATTCATTCTATTAAGAAAAAAAACTATCGCACCTAATTTCTTTTGTTATTTTCTTATGTTATAATTATTCAAAAAGTGATGTATTCATATAAATCATGTCTATATTTTGTATTTTATTAGCTGTGATGCAAACATATAATCGTTCAGTGGAAATGTTTAAAAATAAATAAAACAGAGTTGCCAACTTAGCGACTTTGTAGCTAGATCTAGAGCTTTTAGTTTTGTTCTAGCGACATTTTAGAGCGATTTACGACTTGTCACACATCTAGAGATATCCACAGAAATCTAGCGACTTTCTGGATACTTTTGGACTGTCCATGAATACTCAGTTTTCCTAATTTCGAGCCATAATATATAGCAACGGGGTTACAGGGACAATAAATAATAAGAAAAGTTTAATACATTTGAACGGGTCGTGGTACAGAAGGAGGGACACGTCTATTTCCTGATCACTTGATGTCAGCCCGTCCATGGCTAATGTTGCCGTGTCGTCATTTATTTGTCTATTACCTTCGCCTTTGTAGCACCTGGGTAACTTACCTCTTTGTCAGATATGCAATATGAATTTCATTAATACGCTAAATTTTAAAGAATATTAGCAAAACATCTTATAGAATTAATTCTATCAAGCCTGCGTGGTTCCAAACTTCTCATCCGCCTCCACCATGGGTGACCCATAGACTCCATACAGTTGCCCCGACACTGTTCACCCGCTTTGCCAAAAACCATCAAGGAAAGTTTCCGCTTGTTTGCATGCTGTTTATTAATTTGAACCCTTCATAGTCCCAATAGAAAAAGGGTAAGCCACAGTATTCGCAGCGATTTAGGAAGGAATGGCTCAGAGATGACAGATACAAAAATTGGCTTCTGGAGGTGCCAGGAGATAATAAAAAAGGATTTTGTAAAGTTTGCAAGTGTGCTTTGTCTGCTAAGTTATGCGACATTGAAAAACACAAAAACACTAAAAAAACACAGGAAAGCAGAAGAGCCGTTTAGTGCAGAAAGACAGACAATTTTACCATTCAAGAAACTTGGGAATAATAGCTAGCGACTTTCCATGGAAGATTTAGCTACTTTTAGGTACCAGCCTAGCGACATTTGAAAATCCGAGTTGGCAACCCTGAAATAAAAGTCTCAAGTGTAAACAGTGTGACTGATGGAGCGGCGGCTGTGTGCTCCTAGCCTGGTGATCATCCTCATAGCTCTTGTTACTTACATTGTGAGAGTAACTGAAATAGAAAGGGATGGTAAGTTTTTAGTATATCATTAGTGAGAGTGATAATTATTTGTTTTAGCACATCGTCGAATTTTTTCACGAGATGTTTGATTTCTGATGTTTCATGTGTTTTGTTCAGACCTGACCTTAGTTTTAATGGGAAATGCTCCGTTTGAAATAAAAAAAGGGAAATTATATACGACTAACCAATGAGCGGAATTGGTTGAAAAAAAAATATGAAAACACTGGATTTTCACTGTTAAATTGTAGTGGACATTTGTGGGTATGAAGAAAGACCTAATCAACCTAACCAAACCTATCTTCCTTACCGAGCCCCCAGACCCCCAGTATATTAAACAGAAAGAACTTACTATGCTATGGTGAAATTTGAGGCATTTTCTAGAAGTGTGATGATACGGCCGCATCGACGCTAGGCACCCCGGGCGGCGGAGTGATTTACTGTGTTGGCGGGTTCCACAATAAATTATTCATCAAATCAAAACTCACTGATGATAATAATGGGTAGAGGTGTAGATAATGGCCACCACCAGAAGCCGTTTGCTGATTTTCTTTATTTTTGCCGTACTTAGTTTTTTGGTGATTTTAAGTATATTAAAAGAAACGACAACTTTCTATTATGATTTTAATTATTATTATTATTTTGTTTATTTACTGTACTCTATCCTGCTTCACAATTCTCCTCCCACCGCCACTTTTGTTGTTTACCTCGCTGAATCCCTCTTCAAGAGTCGTTTCCTATAAATGATGGTGAACGCTTCCACGAATTCCTGCTCGCCATTGCTGATTTATATCAACCTCAATATTAAGATAAGTTGTTTAACACATAAATTAACATGATAATACATAAAACCTAATAGAACCTGACCTAACATGCCCAACCTATATTTATTTTACCTGTAGTATTGTATATATGTGTGTGTGTGTGTGTAGACATACACTCACACACAAAACACATTCAAATAAATAAAAATTGGAAAATACTCTCACAAATAATCAGAAACAAATTTATTAAAAATGTGACAGTCTACCCTGAAGTCCGTGCTCTACTAATAAAGTACTGTAATAGAGAACGGAATTGAGGGTAGACTCACATTTTTAATAAATTTGTTTCTTATTATTTGTGAGAGTATTTTCCCATTATTATTTATTTTAATGTGTTTGTGTGTGTGTGTGTGTCTACACACACACATATTTACAATACCTGTACAGGTAAAGGTAATTACTGTCTCTAGAACAAATGGCTCCCTGTCCCAGCCGCAGAAATACCGGCAACTTTAAAACTACCCACAGACACTCTTGGGTACATCCAGGGTGTCATCCGCAAATAACCAAGAACCGCGAAGTAAAAATCCGCGAACTTGGGGGGGGGGGCTGTACCCATATTGCAGTTAAAAATGATCCTCATTGCCAACAGTCACTAGTGTAGGTTCAGTGTGGCTGTCCATGACTAGTCCTAGAGTGTACTGTACTGTACTGTACTTGGAAGTGGAGCTTACCCTACTGATACAGTATTGGCATGTTTGGGCTACTTCTCATGTATTTAGCATTTAGATGTACAATACAGTATAGTGCAGTATACTGGTTTACCAGTACCAAAACTGTAGATATTATCAGTGAAGAAGGGCATAGAATATGATTAGGTTTTGGTTGATCATATAATATGGTACCGGTAGGTAGTAAACACAGTTAAATAATGCTATGAAAATTTAAAAAAAAAAATTATTTCACTTCACTTTTACAGTGGGAGTTACTTCTAAAAGACTTGTCGTTGGTGTTATATCAGCAAGAGATCATGTCTCTCACCGTCATGCCATACGCCACACCTGGGGCTCATTGGTCCAAGATATACCCGATATGGAGCTGGTGTTTGTCCTCGGGGAAACAGACTGTGCAGTGCATCCTGCAGATCGCATCTCCTCTTACACTTGTCAAAGGTGGCATGTAAATGAAGGTAAGTTGTTTAGAGAAGTGTTATTTGAATACAGTACAAGTACAGTATTAGGAAAGTGTAGGGGGTAGTCACTGAGTTTAAAATTTTTATATTTAATTTTCCTGCTTAATTATGGCCTTTTTAGGGTTGAAATTTTGCTTAAAATCTCAGCACAGTACAGTATAGGTAGTCTTTGACGAGCAAATTAAGTGTCTGTGGCCAAACATTTTAAATTCTGATAAGTAACCATCCTCATTGTAATTGGGTAAATTAATTATAAAAACAATTATATTTCTTAGACTATTAGGACAATTAATTATCAAAATTTCTAACATTTCGACCACAGATTCTTATTCAGCATGTCGAGGACTACCTTTCTTCATGAAATTTTGACCAAAATTAAGTTTTAGGGCAAAAGTTTTTGTAATTTTTGGTGCTGAAAAATTAATTTCCTCTCTCATTATAAGTAGTCATTGACATGCAGATGAAGGAAGGGGTTATAGATGCTGCCAGAGTATTAAAGGAATGTCATTAAAAACGGGTATAGTACCAGAATCCTGGAGGATAGCGAATGTAATACCGATTTTCAAGTAGGGAGATAGATCACTATCCTCCAACTACCATCCAATCAGCTTATTATCAATTGCAGGCAAATTACTGGAAGCAATAATTTCAAACTCTATTCGAAATCACCTGGAGACGCACAAGTTGATCAATGATTCCCAACATGGCTTTACAAGCGGGCGTTCATGTCTAACTAATCTATTTACATTCTTTTCATCTGTTTTCGAATCAGTGAACGAGGGGCACGACTATGATGTGGTATACATGTATCTTGACTTTAGTAAGCCTTTGACAGTCCCCCACGAAAGACTAATAATAAGAAAAGTGGAGGCTCATGGCATTGGAGGAGATATTTTAAAATGGATTAGGGCTTGGTTACAGGACAGAAAACAGCAAGTGAGCATTAATGGCACTAAATCTGATCGGAGTAACGTCACTACAGTAGTGGAGTTCCCCAAGGCTCAGCACTTGGACCATTATTATTTATTATATACATAAACGACATAGATATCGGCGTAGACAGCAACATAAGTAAATTTGCCGATGACACTAAAATAGGGCGAGCAGTTAAATCTGACGAAGACTCCGCAAAACTACAGGAAGATTAAAAAAAAAATTGAATGGTCTGAAAAATGGCAGATGAAATTCAATGTGGACAAATGTAAAATACTTAGTCTAGGAGATATAGACAGAGAAACCAGATATCAGATGAACAATGATGTTATTGAGAAATCCGAATGTGAGAAAGATTTATGAGTAATGATAAGTAGGAATCTTAAACTAAGTAAACAATGTGTATTTGCTCGAAACAAGGCTAATTAAGTACTTGGGTTCATACAAAGGAGTGTCAGTTAGAAGACTAAGAGAGGTCATCCTAAAACTATATTTTGCACTTGTGAGACCTCACTTGGATTACGCAGTTCAATTCTGGTCACCGTATTACAGAATGGATATAGAATCCCTAGAAAAAATTCAGAGGAGAATGACAAGAATAATTCCTGGCATTAGGAACCTCGAGTACACAGACAGGTTAAAGCATCTTAATTTGCACTCCCTCGAGAGACGTAGAGTGAGGGGCAATATGATGGAAGTCAGGGGTGAACAAAGGGGATATAATAAAGGTACTCAAATGATCCAACCAGGAGCAAACTCTTAACAATGGCTTTAAATTAGAGAAATTTAGATTTAGGCACGAAATAGATAAACATTGGTTTAGAAATAGATTAGTGGATGAATGGAACAAGTTACCAAACATCATCATTAACTCGAATATGCTGGATAGCTTCAAACATAGGTTGGATGGATATATGAGTATTAGGGGTTGGGTGTAAATGGGACTGCCCAGTATGGGCCAATAGGCCTGCTGCAGTTTCCTCCTTTGGGGGTGCCTCCCCCTACATCCTTGTGCAAGGTGAAGCGCAGAAGCGTTTACAGCGCCCAACAGGGAAGCATGCTGGGTTCATGCTTGCCTTATGTCTCATGAGTTAAGGACGTAGAAGCCTGAAGAGTCAAAGGCGTAGAAGCCTGAAGAGTCAATGGTTTATGTCTAAGCAAGTTATTGGAAGCTCCAACAACTTGTCCCTGAATACGAATATGCAACTTTCGATTTACAGCAGGTACCTATTTTGCTGCTAAGTGAACAGGGACCAAGGGGACTAGGAAGAGTGTCCAAACAACTTCCGCCGGCCCGGGAATCGAACCCGTGACATCTTGTTTGCGAGGCAAGAGCGGTACCGCTCTACCACCAGCGCCTCATTTCCTCCATTCTTATGTTCTTATGTACTGTACAGTATATGCTGGTCCATTCTCTCAAAGTGACCCAGAAATATGGATGCCGATGCCTTTACTACAACATTGTTTAAACCATTTATAAACATGTTTATCATTGCCAGTGTATTTAGCATCATACTGTATTTAGATGGGTATTTGGAATGTGTCAGAATATATGAGATATTTTAGAATTTTATATAATCAGTATGTACCAAATTAAGTAAGAGCGACCAAGGCCAAAGACATGGGAGTAGCCTATGGTAGTCGTTCACAATATTGTACTGTACAGTCAGGCCCGGATTATGGGGAGGGCGTACCGGGCGCACGCCCAGGGCCCCCCACATCTAGGGCTGTCCACAACATTGTAAAAAAAAGTTTTAAAAACCTTTACCACAGAGCGATAAACAAGTGGAACAGATTGCCTAACACTCGCTGTGCAACATTTATAATAATAATAATAATTAACAGTTTATTGAAAAAGTTCTGCAGCCCGAAGGCTGAAAATATACATTGAACAAAAATGACTTATTACATACAGAGACATGGGGTGGGTGGGTCGTTTAACAAAAGCTTTCATTACTGAAAGAAGAAGGAACATGAATTGAACATACAAATTATTATAGTTTACAGTTGATGGCCCGGGCCTGGACTGGTCATGGAGACGCCAGGTGGTGTGATGTTCACGTGGTGTAACTCGTCCTCGGGTGTTGATATGAAGGACCTCACGTGGTCATGGAGACACTGGGTGGTGTGGTGTTCACGTGGTGCAGAAACTCGTCTTCTGGTGTTATGAAGGACCTCACGCGGTCATGGGGACACCGGGTGGTGTCACAGTACCCCACCCTACTGGGTGGTGGTGTGTTATTTTGAAGTCAGGTGTGAAGCCGACCCACTGTTGTTCCCATGGTGGACTGATAAGCACCTCCTTGTCAGAAGATGGCGGTCAGTTCCCAGGGGTACTTATCTCACTGGTGGGTCATGGCTCTCACTGGTACTGTCTAGTGCTGAATTCACTGGCTTAAACGCTGTTCATCACTGTTCAACACTGGTCCCACTTTTTTCCGAAACGAAATTGTCACTTTTGATTATGTTGATATCCCGGTGGTGAGGATGGGTCGGGGAGAGGGCTTGGAGAATGGGCCGAACATTGGCCAAGGGAGGCAGCTGCTCAGCACGAGCAACGTCTGAATAGGTCTTGACTCTACGGTGGTGTAACTCCACCAGGCCGCCACAAATATTTCCTACTAAAACTCATGTTTGGTGAACTGATTTAACTTATTTAACACAAAGATTATAATAAAATAATAAAAAGCTGTATAAATAAGTGAACACTACACCACACAAATTTCTTCAAGATCCAAAACTAATTCTTCAATCAGCAGTAAATTCGCTGGTTTCCTTGAAATGTTTCGTTGAAAGAAAGCGAGACAGTTTTGATGCCTATGAGGAAAAAGCAAAAGATCTGGCAGGAAGCACCGAGTTTGTCCATTCAGGTCGTCAGAGGCGATCAAACGTATGGCTCGCTCCACTGGATTATGGACGTTCAAGTGAAGTGGATCTCAGTCCAAGAGACAATTTCCGAACAAAATGCTTCCTCACAGACATTGATCACCTAGTGGTATCCCTAAACGAAAGGATTTCTGCATACACGTTGGTGAAGGATCGCTTCGGCTTTTTAAGCAATTTGAAAACCATGTCAGCTGATGCTGTTCATTCTGCTTCAGAAAATCTTCTGCAAACTTATGGAAAAGATATTGTTGAAAACATCTCCAATTCTCGTCTCTGGTAAAGTTGTATGCAAAAGCTGCGGATGAGCCCAATGAGTCGTTTTATTACAGAATTATAAAGGAAAACGATGGCTTACAATCAGCATTTCCAAATTTAGAAATGGTTTTGAGGATATGTCTGGTGTTAATGTTCTCCAATTCTACTGGGGAGCGTTCCTTCTCTCAAATGAAACTGATCAACAACAGGCTGTGGACCAAATGCGCCAGGAGAGACTTAACAATCTGATGCTATTAAGCACCAAGTCAGACATTTCAAGAGAACTTCCATTTGACAATGTGATGCATTTATTTGCTAGAAAAAATCACGAGAAGTGCATTTGTAAATGAATGTATACGCTTTCTTTGAATGGAATACATCTGCTCCCCGACTTACGATGGGTTTAGGGACCCAAATCCAGGTCGTCAGTCGAAATGGTTGTAAGTCGAAAATGCTTAAATAATGCATAGAAAATCTAAAATGGGTGTCTCTTTTTCTTCTCAGTACCACAAAACTCTCACTTTTAAGCTTGCCAGTCATTTTAAAGTGAATTACAAACAAAAATTTTGTCAGTACACAGTGCAATCACTGATGTTGGGACTCGAAAATACATAATTTGACAAAATTTTGGAACGACTGAGGCGGTCGTATGTCCAGGTGGTCGTAAGTCGAGTAGGTCGTAAGTCGGGGAGTAGCTGTAAATAATTTGTAAATGTGTCATTATTACTAGATTTTATTGTTTCTATTGACCATGGATATTACCTATATTTATTTTCAGTTGTCAGCAGGGGGGCCCCCACTGCTAGGTGTCGCCCAGGGCCCCCAAGCCCTTAATCCGTCGCTGAGTACAGTACTGTACTGTTTTTGGCTGGACTGTCATTCGAAATCTACCTTACCCAATTTTTAGGATATTTTTAGATACAATATAAGCCAGATGAGAATGACATGGTCCAAAAATGTCCAATGTTGATAGGATTTTGGGAATTTCAAGTCTTATGCTAAGGTTGAACTGTATTGTAGTATAAATCAAAGTAGCATCATAATATCAATAACTTGAAGAGCTTAACTTTCACATCCTTCACAGTTGTGACTACAATAGGCTCTCGTCAATAACGTCTAATAGGTGCCTGATAAACGCCGTTATTAGCGAAAACGTTATTTGTGTGACATTAAAATACGTGTAAAAAGGGTTTATTGGTGCCACCGCCCCGAGAATTTCACCCATTTGTTCCCCTTTGAAGCCTTGCCTAACACTTTTTGTTAGCTGAAATAAAAAGATTTGTTATTCAATCATCAGAATAAAGAATTTGAGTAATATAACACCCGTAGCTTGGGGGAGTTTTTGATGTGCTTAGTGTGTTGATTGTTACGAGGCTGGGGCATGGAGGCTACTGCGTCGAACCTCCGCCCACATCCCTGGCCCCATCTCCGTCCCCTTCCCCATGCTGGCCTCTCGCACCCGGTTCACCCACTTCCGCAAACACTTCATCAAACCCCGTAAAGTCAAAATCTTCAGGCATTTCCCCAATGTCATCAATGTCTTCATCAACTTCAACCTCTCTCTGTTGGTCTTCCTCGGCTGACCGGCATTGTGAAAGAAAGCGAGTGATGAGTGACTGCTGCCGGGCATTCACTCGCTCGTTGTACTGCTTCTGGTATTTTCTTGAAATAGATTCTATAACTCCAATCACCTTCTCCCTTTCACCTGATTCACTCTCAATGTCTTGGATCATTTTTCCTCTGTTCGGTCTCCCCTGCATCACTCGCTGCATCACCACTCTCAGCACCTTCTTCATCCTCCAGGAGATCCTCGACATCATTTGTGTTACCTTCTTGCATCAGTTCTTCTAAATCTTCCAGAGTCACTTCTTGAAATCCTGGGGCTGGGATACTGCGGACGGTTTCCAACACTTGGTTCATTAGCTCTGTTGGCTGCTGTCTCTTCGTCTCGGTTGACTTGAGTTGTGGCAGGAGTGCCGATCAGGCATGCCTAACGGTTGCTTTCGTAGTATTTCCCCAGGCTTTTACAAAGAAATTCACTGCCTGGCGAATGTTATAATTTTTCCAGAAGGCAGTAACAGTCACTGTGGAGGTTAAAGGTACGCCAGGAGGAGGAGTGGAGGCGGAGGCTGTGAGTGAGACAGGCGGAGCAGCAGAGGCGGAGGGTGTGAGTGAGCCAGGCGGAGCAGCAGAGGTGGCAAGGGGTGGACCCTCCTCCTCGCTACTGCTCACAGTTTCAGCAATTTCCTTCACTTCTTCTTGCTTATCAGTTTCCTTCCTCATCTTGTCATGGACATATTTGTAGTACAGCAACTTTACATTCGCTATGATTTCTTGGTCTCGTGGCTGTATTTTGGAGGTTGTATTTGGTGGTAGAAACATAACCGCAACGCTAGGGTGACGTCCTACTAGAAATCGTGCATGACTGGGGGCATTGTCTAGAAAGAGCACCACTTTGCAGGCTACATTCTTCTTCCTGCAGTATTCTTTGGCATCCTCAACAAAACAATCGTCAAACCACTTCCTTGGTAACTCCGTGGACATGTAGCCTTTATTTGTCTTTTCCCATTAGACATTCAGTTTGGACATATCACATCCCTTGTCACCTGAAGCATTACAGGTTAGGAGGACACTAAAGCGATCCTTTGCCACTTTCACACCTTTTGCCTGTTTTTCTTTCTTAGAGATAAATGTTGCTTTAGGGGATTTTTTTCCAAAACAACCCGGTTTTGTCACAGTTAAAAATCTGACCCAGGGTATAACCTCCCTCTTGAATGATTTGATTGGCAATTTCAGGGAAGGAATCTGCAGCCACTAAGTCAGCAGACGAAGCCTCACCCTGATACTTTGCATAGTTTATGCCACTTCTAATCTTAAACTTATGCAGCCACCCTACTGAGGCATTGAAAGGAGGGGGAGACTTAATGTTTTTCTTTTGAGCTACAGCAGTGTACAGTACCCTTGCTTGATCTCGTATCTGAGGGCCGCTAACACTTGCACTGTCTTTCATTCTACAAGCTAACCATTTCACAAGAAAATTCTCTGTTATCACTAACAACCTGTTTCTGTCACTTTTATCATTCATAGCTCGCCTTGCATTTCCATCACTACCGAAATATTTCTTAGCCAGCTCAATACTCTTCTTGGTCTCCTCTAAGTTCTTCTTAATATTTCGCACTGTAGACTCAGGACAGTTCAATTTCCTCACAATATCAATGTTCCGTGCACCACTTTCAATGAACTCAACAATCTTGTCTTTATCCTTGACCGAGTAGGCACGCTTCTTGTGACTTTGTCTCTTAGCTTTGGGGTCTTTTTTCTCATTCACTTTAAAAGTTCCCAGGCATTCAGGCAGCCAATCACTCCCTCCACCACCTCCCCTAGTCCCCAAATGGCAAAAACGCAGAAGCCATTGTTGACCACTGATCCTAGCAACCACTGGTTATAGAGGCGAAAATCTCACACGTGGGCGCAGCGCTGTATTCCACGGAGCATGTATGAGAGTGAGAGTGACTAGGGAGTGAGGCGGAGCGGACAACATGGCAGCAAACAAACGCTATCATTGATGCTCTCGGACGCTTCCCACGAAATCTCCGTTATTCAAGAGAATCCAGACGTTATTATTGAAAATGGGTATCTATTGTAACTTACCGTTAATGTCGAAAACGTTATTGTGGAAGTCGTTATTAGTGAGAGTCTACTGTACAAAGAGAGTGCACAGAATTTGTACTCTCAGATATACAGTATAAGAATAGTTCCATGTGACCAAAGGTAAAGACTGCAGGAACATAAGAATGATAGGATACCAAGTTCTTGTGGTCCTTACTTCCAGTTACCTGTACAGGTATACAGAGATGTTCCTATAATCCGGACTTGCACTGTATGTTCTCTGTTGCCACTTTCTCAGTACTGTACATTACAATACAAAACTCACAACAGGTTATCAGTGATTATTAGAACTGTATTGTATATTACTTTCTATTGTTTAATTGAGATTTGATTTACGGACTTGATATTTACAAATGTGAATCCTTCTCAGCAATTCTGAGCTACTCCTTTGACAAGAATATCCTACCAATTTTTTACCAGTACAGTACTGTAGTATAGTACACTTGTTCTAAGACCTGTTTCAGGAAGAAATACAGTAATGTACTGCATATATACAGTACACTATACAGTGGTCCCTCGGTTAACGAACTCCTCGGTTAACGAACAAAAATTCGGTTAACGAATTTCTTACGAACCGATCTCAACATGTTTTCGCTTGCACTGGCCGGTCAACCAGCTTTAGTATTAGTCCGCCAATACATTAATCGGTTCTAGGGCTTAAATTCCTTACTATTTTAGTAAATATCAAGAAGTTTATACTATTCAATAATTTTAAAAGTTTAATATTCAATTTTTTAGTCATTTTAACAATTATTGAACATAATTGAATGTAAAGTGACTAGTTTAATGCGCGGCATCCAGCCTCTTAACACAGCAAACAGGCGTTAGTCTCTCTGTTTTCACTGGAGGTAACATCTTGCTTGAGACTTTCTTCAACTAAATGCTTTTTTTCTGTGTTTCCAAGCAAATTATTGGTCATTTTGAAATATATTTTACATATTGACAATATATAATGCAGTGCAGTGTTGATTTAAAGAAAATAATCTTGAAATACACCAAGAGAACTAAAATTTTATGGGTGAAATGGTGCCATAGGGTGACTTCTCTTCCACCCCAATGCCTTCTCTTCTTCCTTCTCCTCCACCCCCATTCTAATTCCCATCATCATCATCCAGGAGCCTTCTACATACACACCTCAAAGTAAGTGAACTTTTCTACCATTTTTGTTGAATTTAGGCAATTTTCGGTGAGCTGGAACCAATTACCCAAAAACCCATTGAAACAATGGTTTCGGTTAACGAATTTTTCGGTTAACGAACAACCTGCTGGAACGGATTGTGTTCGTTAACCGAGGGACCACTGTATTAAGTGATATAAGGTGTTCCATGATGCAGTAATTATCCAGTTAGGCGTAGAATAGCATCATTGTTGAAGGGAAGTACTGTACAGTATGTAAAGCACCTGTACATGAATCTCTCTTACTGCATGAACTACAGTGTTTATTTTAAGTCAGCATTTTTGTAGTTCTATTTTCTCTTTTCTTTCTACCAAATACGGGTGTAGAGTACTGTTATTTTTTAATTAATTTTATTTTATTATTATTTTTTGCATACAGTACTATTGTATACTGAATAAAATCCATGAATGTTTAGTAGTAATTTATAGTGGTGCCAATTAAAAAAAAAAATTTGTTGTTTCAGAAATTGAAAGGTCAGAGGTACAATCTTTCTTCAAGAGCAAAAATTTGTTAATTAACAGTAGTTTGAGGGATTCTGAATGTTATATTGGACTAGGATTCAGAGTTCTACATCCTATAATTGTGGAAGAAATTAGTGTACGAGCAAACCTTATGAAAAGGGCCAATAATATTTTCATCTTGCTTCAAGATGCTGAAGAAGTAATTGAAAGAGTGCAATTAAAAGATAAAATCTGTTCAGAAGAGGATGGGTATTGTAATATTAAGTTACTGGCTCCTTTACATCTGCCAAAGGAATTTGAAGGAGAACTGAGAGTGTACAAGAAAGGGGAAGATGGCGGAGACGTGTGTGGGGAAGAACTGTTTTCTCTTCAGTCAGGGATGAAGTGGGTATGTTGTTTACTTGTTAAAAATCCCATTTAATGTTTTGTATACTGTATAGTAATGTTTAATTAGCTCTCAGTGTTGTCTTGTTTATGTCATGTTTTGGGAACAATCACAATACTGTATACTGTACAATATATTGTACATACAGTACTGTGTTTATAAATTCAGGCAATAATATTTGTCTTCAATAATTTGTTTTATCCAGACAAATTACTGTATCTAAGACTTTTATGTTACTATACAACAGTACAATATTACTTCTACAGTAATGTTATGGAGATCATACTAGAGAGGTTCAGTATCATGTAATTAGTGAGCTTAGTTCCTGAGAGAAGTAAAGTGTGAAGGTTGGGAAGGGAATATCTTTGTAATTGTGCTACTGAAAGAAAACTTAATATAAAACTTAGTTGGTCCTTGCTAAACGTTCAACAGTCTTTCATTTTTACATGGTCAGCCAGAAAGGAAATTATCTTTCACTGCCTGTACAGTAGTTGTGAAATGTGGAATATGGCAATTGAGGGATTGCTGCATTCATTTCTTGTCCTAAGAGTCACTGTTTTGTGCCCAGGGCACCCTTAATCCACCCAGTTATAAATGGATACCTAACTTTACAGTTAGTGAAGTGAAGGTTACGAGGTACCTGAAATACAGGTACAGAAATTAGATTTTATTTAAAAATGGCTGAAATTTTCTTAAAACCAAAATGTCTTTATATGCATATCCCTATACAGTGTCTGTCTATCTGCTCGTTGCTCTGCCTCAGATTCTTTATATGTATATTTATTAATCTGTCTGTGAGTAATTTAATCCATGTATGAATAAGTGATATCTCCATTAGCCGGAACAGTTGGTGCAGAGCACTTTTGTGAATGAGAGCTTTCCGGGTAACTAGATAACTCTCTCAAAGCCGGGAAAAAAAATCCCTCATCCCTGGAATTTTCCAGGTAACGGATATGTTCTCAGAAGTTCCAGAAATTGCCCATTACATCATCTCTTGAACCTAAAAAAATTATCCTCCATCCCTGGAATTTTCTGGCACTGGGAAAATTTTCTCGGAATTTCCATAAAATGCACCTGAATTTCATTTCTCAAACCCGGAACAAATTCACCCATCCCTGGAATTTTCCAGGTATACTGGGAAAATTTTCTCGTAATTTTCCAGAAAATGTGCCCTTCGGAAAATTTCAATTCCAGGTATCGGAGAGTTGTGATTAAGAGGGATTCCGGCTAACAGAGATATTACTTGTATATCCATTTAACTACTTATGATATGTGTCAGAACATTCAAGTAAAAATGTTCCTTGCATGTCTTATAAACATTTACATGGGTTATTACAATTATAAAATATATTTGTGTCACATCTTACGCATACAGTATTTAACTTATTGCATTCAACTTTACGCTTGGCTTAGGGGAAAATGAGAATGACTCAGTGAGTGTAGGAGTGTAGAGCCTCTCATTATGTGTGAACCAGAGCAGACTACTAACTTTGTACAGTATTATAATTGCAAACTAAAGTTATGTACAGATTAAAAGTAAATGATATAAAGTGTAGTCTGCATTTACGCGGTCAATTGAACCCGTGGAGGCCCACGTAAAACGAGAAACAGGTAAATGAAATAACAGAACATATGGGATTAATTGAAATAGAGACTGGGCCGACCCCCAAACTCCACTTTTTGCGACACAATACGTACGTTATAGTAAAACTATTATCTTAATTTTATGATGGTATGCACACACACATAATATAGAAGAGAAATATCAATAAGAGAATAATGTACTGTACCAGGTAAAAGAAAAATCAAGGTTTAACACTTATGTTAGGTTAGAAAAATCAAGGTTTAACACTTAGGTTAGGTTAGAAAAAATCAAGGTTAGGTTAGGTTTAACACTTACGTTAGTAGAAGAGATGGGTCGGCATAAGTTGATGGGGGCTGGTTCCGAGGCAGAGGGCAGATTACTGGCCCTCAGGTGAATCACCATCACTATCCACCATGTTGTCAGGGCCTCCCTGACAAATCCCTCAAAGTCACCATCACTGTCACTATCACTGACTTGGGCTGGCTGTGGTGGGTTGCGGGCAAAGAAGTCCGTGATGTTACGCTGACCGTTAGTGTTGACATGTTCGTGATACATCTTGATGTACGGCTCCATAATGTGCAACAACTGGTTATTGAAGACTTCATAGCGGTGATCGTCAGGGTCGTTGGAAAGGACGAGCTTGAGTTTCTCTGCAAACTCGATGGCATCCTTTACATTACCATGTGTTAACTTCTGTTGTTCTCGGGCTGCTGCACCACCTGCATCTTCACTGACGTCATCGTCTTCCAACATCTCGTTGGCAGTCACCTCAGGATCCCTGATCACCTCCATAATGTCTTCGTTGGTGGTCTCGGAGAAGCCTGCAGCTGTAACACTCTGCGCAGCTTCTCTTAGGAGGTCCACTGCCACTGCAACAGACTGAACCTCACCAGTCACAGGTTGACTCTGCCTCCCACCTGGGATACCTTGCAACACATGTTGCCATGCGTGACGAATCGTTGCCACAGACAGCTGCCCCCATGCCTCCACCAAGAAATCAACAGCTTTCTTGACTTTGAATTTCTTCCAAAACTGTTTGATGCGAACTTCTTGCTCGGCCAACTCTTCTTCCTCGTCGTCGCTCTCGCTATCGGTGTCACCCAGGTTACGCAACTCATCCTTGGTGTACAGTCGTTCAGGAGCTTAAACTTCTTTGCAGAGAATGCAGCCTTAACGTTGCATATCAATTCCTGGTCCATGGGCTGGATTAACGACGTAGTGTTGGGAGGAAGGAAGACCACTTTTACGTTGGGGTGACGATCCAACAGTAGGGGCGAGTGTCATGGTGCGTTGTCAAGGAGCAACAAAATGTTGAATGGAACATTCTGTTGCTCGCAGAATTTCTTGACGTCGGGAACGAAACAGTCGTCAACCCAGGAGAGGGACAGAGCAGTGAACATCCACGCCTAACATGCGGTTAGCCAGTGGACATTTAGCTTGGTCATGTCCATGTTCTTGTAAGCGTGCGGCTTGCGGGCTGTGTGGATCACCGATAACTTGAGCTTACAGGTACCAGAGGCATTGGTGGTAAACAAGACGGTGATGCGCTCCTTCTGCAATTTCCGGCCCCGACACTTGCTGGCAGACTTGACAACGAAGGTCTTGGTAGGTAACTTTTTCCAAAACAGACCGGACTCATCCACGTTGAACACCTGGTCGTCGGTGTACTGTCATTCCTCCATAACTTCTCGTAAGAATGGAGGAAAATCACTCGCCGCAGCATGGTCAGCACTCGCTCCTTCACCAACAGTGTTAATGTTGGTGATCTTGTTCCTCTTCTTAAACCCTTGCAGCCACCCAGAGGAAGCATTGAAGGGTTTGGGCTCTGCAATTCCCATCTTACGTGCCACTGCTTTGTACAGTTCACGTGCGTAGTCCTGAACTGAGCGCGTGTCGACCGCCATGTTCTGTCTTGCCTGACGAATCAAGTAGCTCACCAGCAAATTCTCAGTCTTGAGCAGCACCTTGTTCTGGCAGTACTTCACCATTGAAGCACCTGCAGACTTTGTGATGCTCATGTGTTCTTTTATCTTGGCGGCATCCTTTTTGATCGTCCGGATCGTAGATTCGTTCATGCCATGCTGGCGTGCTAAATCAACTTGCCTTGTTCCTTTTTCTAACTCTTGTACGATCTTGTACTTAACTTCGTAACTTAGGGCACGTCGTATCTTCTTTGGCTTGGAGCGGCTGGGTCCAGGTAATGCAAGGTTTTTCTGTGGTGGTGGGGGTCCAGTGGATGCCATTCTTACGAGATTAGCGGTAACAATATAGAGCACAGTACAGTATACATGGGGTGACTGGGAAGAGGGCGACTGACGCGGGTAACGGTTTCTCTGTGGTGGCAGGGCACGTCATATTATATTGAACCAATCACAGCTAGCGGGGGAGGGAGTTAAGGATGCGTGGCCCAATCACAGTCTGATACAGTCAGTTCTGCTATAACGCGATAGTTGTGTTCTTGTAAAACATCGTGTTATAGAAATTCGCGTAATAGAAATAACAGGGCTTATGGAGAAAATAGGGTTAGGTGCAGATTACTCGAAATCGAAATTTTTTTCGTAGTTAGCCTAACACAAAGGATAGCACAGTCTAAATAAATGTTACATTCATATCTAATAATGAAATCATACAGTAAATGTTACACTTTACCTTGAAAAAATATGAATATAACTTGATGGGGGAGAAGGTTGATGTTGAGGAGTCATGCAGACAGGATTTGACAGTTGTCATCATCAGTATCATCATCATCATCAGGTTCAGTTTTTCTTTAGGTCCTCATATATTGATAAGGCTTTCTCTTTAATGGTGAGGAAGCTGGTCCCAGATCGCTTTTTCGTTTGATCTTCTATCCAAACACTTAGAAGCCATTCCATCTCCTCAAGTTCCTTTGGCCGTGATCTCACACTTTTGCTAGCACTCAAGGTTTTTCCACCAATACAGCTTGCTTTAATCTTTGCTGCATTGTCTCTAATGGTGCGTAAAGTAGATTCCTTTATTCCCGTTGCACGCACAATATCACATGTTCTTTCCTTATTTTCAAAACGATTGACAACATCAAGCTTTTCTTCAAGTGTTATAGCCTTTCTTTTACGATCACCACCGGAAATGCAATCACCAGAACGCTTCCCGGAGATATTCTTCTTTTCCATAGTCACAAAATTGGAGAAACAGTAATCAGAAATCACTGAGGACACTTAAAAACTTCACACGTGTTTCAGACTGATCGTGTGGTGTCAACAGAGCGCTCGGGTCTAAAACGCTACATATTTTGTTTTTCTCTCTTATTTAAAATTTTACAATTTACATGTACTGTACAGGTATACTGTATACATAAATATTACATAAATTATTTCTGCAATTCTTCATAAACAAAACACATAAATCAATTGAACATGTGATATCAAATGTGAACTGTAAACACTGCATAACCCCGCGCCAAGCCACAGCAACTGTTTGAGTGGAATCGCGTGAGAGCAAATGCGTTCACGTTTTACAAATATTGTTCCTCTATTCATCAATTGCATTAGAGCCAATTCGTGTTGACAAAACACCCGTTATAGCAGAACTCACTGTATGTCATATAATGTCACTGATAACGTAACAGCAACATACTGCGCAACCTTACTCGCTCCGCTTGTGCTAAAGCATGACGGGATGGCGGGCTGCTTGAATCAAAAATAGCTTGGCGCGTCTGGACCCTCCAGCGACTCGCTGCGTAAATGACCAAATTTACCGCGTACAGTAATTAAAGCATTTCGATTCTGGCAAGGCACCGTGTAAATGACCAAACGCGTTAACCAAAACCGCGTAAATCCAGACTATACTGTATGTAAATACATATTTATTACACAAATAAAAAAATTAATACATCACTAAATGGTAACCATCCTGAGTAGTGTTAGAGGTTCTCTCAGTTGGCTAAAGCTTTGATGTCACCCACGAGTGGCCGCCTGTTTGCCACACCACAAGCCACGCCAGCAATTATTCTTTCTCTACTTTTCTATTATAAGCATCACTTAAATAATTAAATAAAAAAGACTCACAGACTTAAACTAACCAAGAACTGTATGTCTAAAGGCATATTGCTTTCCTTTGTGATGTTACTGTCAAGGCCACTCGCCTCCCCAGCCTGTCTCCTATACCTCTGTCTTCCCAAGTGCTGTCTTGTCCCCAGCCTGTCTCTCTTCAGACTGCACACTTCCTGAATTTTCATGTCTTAACTGATGGAAAGACTGGATTTTTTGGGTGCAGTACCAGCAGGGCATTTTCCAGGCATGAGTATGTTCTTTTTATGTTGGGTTTATAAATAATCAACAAAGCAGCACCAGTTGTTGTCACCAAGGCAAAAAGCATGAGACTATATTGACAGGCTGGAAACGCATGGGTGAGACGAACAGGCGATGCCACCTCACCGCCACACTGGTCCGCATGAGATTCAAAACAATTCTATATCAGACCAGCTACTTGTATCAAATAATGTTTCCTAATTATTAAACGACTTTACTTTATATCTAAATGACGATTTTTGCCATGATGTAAATCAGAGAGTGCCTGTAGTTCCTAAGTACTAAATTACGTCAGCAAGGTACAAATTTACAGTACATTAATTAGGTACTAAAATATAGTAGTTTGTATGTTTTTGCTCTTTGTGTATTATTTTTTGCCATAATATTGGGGTTTTCTCATCATTGGGAACCAAATCCTATTTTCCCATATGGTATCCTATTCAGTACTGTATACGAATATTGTACAGTATAATGAATGGGTTTCAGGGAACCTAACCCCCATTTGTATGGCGAGGAATAGCTGTACAGTATATGATAATTTGAGAATTTGTAAGATATGAACAATTAACATACCCTTGTGCTGTATGAAGAAGTAATATGCAGAAATATAATGGAGTAGGGATTAGCTAAAATATAAGAAGACATACCTTCAGGTGCTTTGGAAGAGCAAAAGAAAAATTGGAGAAAAAATGAACAAGAAGCCATTGAGTAAAAATAGTAGCTGTAGTGTTGGTCGAGCGTTGAAGCTGTAGGTTTAGCATCAGCATGGTGAAGAATGTTATTGTTGAAGTACCCTAATGAAAAATGATACACAGATAGTTGGTAGTGAAAAGATATTCATTATCCCAAGATGCCAAGAGATACTTTTACATTGCTCACTTTGCAACAAACATTGCAAATTAAAAGAGGATAATAGAAATATTAACACAATACCATTTCTCTGTCTTTGGTACATTTTATTTGCTATTTAATGCAGTCGTCTTTTATTCATCTGTCTAGCATGAAAATAAAAAAAAATTAATCCTCAGGTATGTGAATGGACTAATAGTTCACTTGTTGAGTACAAGTTTGTTCGCACAAGAAAGAATGTCGTGACCAAATGGAGAGGAACATCGTGTCCCCTAGCATCAGTAAAATTCAATATGGCAGGTTAGTGTTTAAAACCACTGTACTGTAGTATATTGGTTAAATACTGTACTGTACAGTACTTTTATATATACAGTATTTATATAGGGTGTAACAGAATTCCAACCCATATTATTTATTGTTAATATTCAAACTTGCAATTGGTGCAGAGCACTTCCGGGGATGAGAGATTTCCGGCTAACCAGACGACTTCTCAAACCCTCAAAAATTCCTTATCTCCGGAATCTTTTCCGGTTCCTGGGAAAAGTTTCTGAGTGTCTAAACTAGACATCTTGCACACACAGATAATAGCGCACTTCCCCAGAATGTTTCTGGGTGCTGGGGATGTTTTCCTTGAGTCTTAACTACCGGAGTCCGTAAATGCAGTTCTAATTAAGTTAGAAACTCCATTTCTTTACTATAATAATCCAGAATAGTTTATCTAAAAGTTTGGTAAAATAAATATATTTGAAAATTAAAAATCTTTTTGATATGGTCGTGAATGAAGTTGTGTGTTACAGCAAAGACTGGTATTTTCCACTCACTCGATTATCCTAGGCTCTGACATAAGGTTTAGCAAGGTCAGTCCTTTGTTTGTGAGGAAAAAGTTGTGTTAAGATGAGATATTTTGTATTTTAATGTCTTAACCCCTTCACAATGGAGATGCCACTTTTAATATTTTATTTGGCTAATGCCAGATGATTTTATTCAGCTCAGAGGCAACACCATACTCAAGGGGTTAATTGGAGAATCTCCTTACTGGAGTTATGATTTTCTTAACAGACAAAAATGTGATGTTGAAGCATATAAAGGAGCAACACCTGAGGATGAGGGAGTGGAAGAGTTACCTTGATGACCTACAAATGAAGATTGAAAACGAAGAAAAGGAATACCAAGATGTGCTTACTTTACCACTAATGGATGTTTATTCTCATTTACCTCACAAAGTTTTGACATTTTTGAAGTGGTAAGCTTATATATGTGTCTGGTGTAACATATGGATATGACCCATGAGACTGGCTGTACCTCTATAGGTGGCACAAGTGTATGACCAGAAAACTAGTGTAATACTGCAGTGTCTCTAAGCTAGTCACCTTAATGCAGGCAGACTCAACCATGGAGGTATAATAGGGTGGAGGCAGCATCTGCTCAGAAAAGTGAGGTCACTCTGAGCTGCCCGTGGCCATATTGTGGTTGGCAAAAGAGGCTAGGTTGCGGCCGTGTTCCACCAGTTAACAATCGCCAGCTCACAGGTGCACATGTTTCTCTTTGTGTGCATAACATATAAAAATGCCAGTATCGTGTGCTGCTTATGGATGTACTGCTAGGTTCGACAAGACCTTAGATCCTCATCTTGCATTTCATCTGTAGTAATTTCTTAAATGATATACCCTGTAGAACTAAGTATAAAGTTAAAAAAATTTGCGATCATGTGTCAAGCGTGTGCACCAGTTACAGTGCAAACATCTCCCTCAACCCTTCTCGTTTTAAGGGCTATTTTAAATATACAGTAGGCAATCTGTGTGTGCACTGCATATAAGTGAGATAGAATTCATGTGACAAGGGGATTATATTAAACTATTCATTAATAAATTAGGAGTGTTGTTCACTGATAGAGTTGTCAGTATTGATGGAAAAAAAATATGTTTAAGAATATTTCTTAGATTTTAATTTCTTTGAGCTTTAAACACGACCTGCTTCATAGCAACATCAGCCATATAGCATTCAGTATTAATACATACAGTGGAAATTGATATTGTTTCTTAACTTGAAAAATTAAGCTTATGCATATCAGTAAAGGGGGGGGGGGCATCTTGAAATGCTATGAAACATGTTTTTAGTGAGAAGTTTTGGTGTATACAACAATTAAAAGTCAACAAATGTACTAAGTGAAATACATGTACTGCACATGCCATGGAAGACATCTTGTTACCGAGAAACTGCTTCACCGGTTGTAGTGAAACTGTGAGGCCCAGCCAAGACATGGTTTTAATTTCATAGTGACACACCAACAGCAAGTCTACTGCACTGTACATACAGTACAGTATATACATTTGAGTTGTTTTACTTTCACTGAATTGAATTTTATGAGATTTTATCTGAAGAAGAAATGCTAAACTTTTCCATTTAACATTTTATTCTTTCCTTTGGCATCAGATTAAACATGCAATACTATACACATCAGCCTTCCCACAGTGAAAATAGCTTGAGTCAGCATCTTGCCATTGTCTCACTTATCAATCTTGTGTGCCATAACATGTTTTATTTTTTAGCTAACCACTCTTAGTACAGTATAATATGTTTTTAGTTTGTCTTTATAAACAGACCAGGTCAGGTACAGGAAGCCCTGAGATGATGTGTCACCACCTCAGCATCTTCTAATGCTGTTAAAAAAATTATGAAAACAAAATCACAATTTCAGATTTTCGTACATTTGATTTTTTCCCTCCATAAATTGGGGGACTGCCTGTACACTTTTTGTTTTTTCAGGGTGACTCACAAGTACAATTCATCATTCATAATGAAAGTAGATGATGACACCTTTGTGAATATATCTCTTCTGGACTTACTGACAAAGAATGAAGTGTATTCAGTTCCCACATGGTGGTCCCAATTTCAGCATCATCGTTCTGTACCAATGTATGGGAAATGGGCTGACACAGAGTATCCTTCTCTAACATATCCAACATTTCCTTCAGGTGCAGGGTACCTCATGACAGGTTAGTGGCAGCCATTTTGTAGCAGAAATTGAAGACTTTAGATGTACAGGCCGCGCCCCCCCCCCCTCAATTTGCGGGGGTTAGGTTCTCAGAATGGCCGCGAATCGCCGAATCCGCGAATAACATTTGCGGACCGAGGGGGGGGAGGGGGTACATTTTTACTTGTGTACAAAGAAATGTATATTCCCTTTATGTGTTTGCCCTTAGGATAATTATTTATTTTACCTGTATTGTATATATGTGTGTGTGCGTGTCTACACACACACACACAAAATACATACCCCTGTACAAATACATAATAATGTTAAAATACTCTCACAAATAATCAGAAACAAATGTGACAGTCTACCCCCAAGTCCGTGCTCTATTAATAAAGTAATAAAGCACGAAATTGAGGGTAGACTGTTACATTTTAATAAATTTGTTTCTGATTCTTTGTGAGAGGATTTTAACTTTATTATTTATTTGTATGTGTTTTGTGTGTTTCTACACACACAGATATTTACAATACAGTTAAAGGAAATTACAGTACTGTCCAGAACGATTGGCTCCCTGTCCCAGCTGCGAAAATGCCGGCAACTTTAAAACTACCCACAGACATTCTTGGGTACATCCAGGGTGTCATCCGCGAATAATAGAGGACTGCCAAATAAAAATCCGTGAACTTGGAGAGGGGCCCCTGTACTGTACTGTATAAAATTTTTACTTTTCTTTGGAATTGCTCTTTCTCAAAAATGTAAAGTGAATGCTATACAGTATTTAATCCCTAGGCTTCGGGTCACGTCATATGACGTTTTGGTCTTTCACGGATATTGAGGTTTAAAGTATGTGGGGACATAGAAAAGTAGTTTTTCAACCCATGGCGGACTCATTATTGTCGCATGGAACGCCTCATTTGTAGTCTCCCTCTTGGATTATGGGTATATTTATTCTTGGGTACTCAGGAAACTGCTCTTGTAAACCTAACTGCTCCCAATATGTGACATAAAGAATTATTATAGACCCAGTCAGTGACTCAGGGCCATCAGTGAAGGAGGGTATGAATTTTATTATCTATTCACTGTACTGTACTCTGTTGTCAGCTTATTAATGTACAACAGCTGCATCAACTCTTGAGATAAATGAATTTATGTTGAGTGAAATGTTTTGCATAGCATGAAAGTTTAATGATCACTCCTTTTACTTATTAAGTTGATTACTGAATGACTTTCACATTTATTCAGTCATCCCTTTTCATTCAATTACCCTTGTCTAACTTCATCTCTTACAATTTACCTCACCCCCATCATGTTTATAAATGTTTAGTGATACTGGTAAAGGTTCAGCCATCCAATCATTTATCGCTTATTGCCCATGTGTCTTTCTAACGGCTCCTTCACCAAATTAGCTTGTCTCACATCCTCATTCTTTACCTCTCATTTTCATAATTCCTTTAAGACTGCATAAGCCATTAATTTTCCCTTATTTATTTTTGGAATTAAGCAGACAGTTTTAGATTTCAAGGTTATTATAAGAGCAACTTTAGATGCTTTTGGTATTAGGGGATGAGTTGGAAAAACTGATAGTCTGGTCTAAGTACTGTAGATGTAAAAGGAGTTAGAAACCCATAGATATCAGGTGTGATGTTTGAGTGCTTTAACTAGTGGTTTGATTATATGATGAGAATATTGGACAATTGTAATGCAGGTGTGAGGTTAATGAAGTGAGAGTGAGGGGAAAGCAACTGGCATCATGTGAGAAAAATGTGTGAGAAGACTTAAAAGCAAGATCTATTGAAAATTAAACTAAAGAAAGTTTTTTAGGTATAGCATCTTGGAGGCTTTTCTGTTGTGATTACTCACTGGAAATTCTCAGAGGGAGTGGGGCATTAGATATACAGTAGCTTTACTCATAAATAGAAATAAATCAGTTACGCTTGTTCTCTATAATTACTACTTCCTAGTGAACATTCCTGAGTTTAGAATATGGTACCTCATCCTACTGTCCTTGCTGGTATCATTTTTTACATATTGTGAGTGAGAATAATTTTTGCATTTCCAGGATCTCTTGCACAAACTTTGGCTACTGCAGGGTCATATCTGACTGCATATGGAGGTGAAGATGTGAGCATGGGTATATGGGTGGCATCAGTAGCTGGGAACTCCAAGACAGTAGATGTGCCTTGTTGGCTGCCACATCCACATTGTTCTCAGACTATACTTCTGCAGCAGTTATCAGCAACTGAGATGAGAACAATTTGGAACAAAATGAAATTGAACTAATTGAGGATCATTATTTTCTCAATAGAAATCACGTAAGTAATAAATTGTTTAGTTGTTGTGAGATGACTTTTGTGGGAAAAAAATGGCATTCTTCACTTACAACTGTAGCAGAGGATTTGGTGACTACAAATATTAATGTATACAGTAATATGGTTCTTTATGCAATTTTTTTATTTGGGGCTCAGTTTTTTTGCATATACTCTAGATTGTCTATTTATACACAGTATTCATTTTTTTAATATTTATTATTTAACCCTTAAATTGCACATATTGTAGGGGAAAACCTGGCTCATTTTCTTACTAGCTGTAGCATCACCAGAAGGTTGCATGGGGTGCTTCAGAGCCATTATGATACACAGAGGAGGGATGAACAATGTACTTGATACTGTATAATAGCAAGTGGTGCATGGAGTTTGATCTTGTAGTCTCAAAAAAACAAGAGATACATGGCAACTGACTCTGCTCCTATATCTCGGAAGCATCTAGAATAGTTGACAGAAGGTTTATTACCAAGCAGATTGACTTTTTATGTAAGTATATTGCTATTAATAAAATATGGTACAGTAAATTGCATTTTGTGAGATTGCATTATACAGTACGCCCTGATAATCTGATAATTCGCGGATTTTTATTTTGCGGACCTCTATTATTCACAGATGACACCCTGGATGTACCCAAGAATGTCTGCAGTGTAGTTTTAAAGTTGCTGGCATTTTTGCGGCTAAGACAGGGAGCCATTCATTCTAGAGAGAGTAATTTCCTTTACCTGTATTGTATTTATGTGTGTGTGTGTCTGTGTGTAGACACACACACAAAACACATACAGATAAATGATAATGGGAAAATCCTCTCTCAAATAATCAGAAACAATAATTATTGTAGTATTAAAAATGTTGAGTCTACCCTCGAGTCTACTCCGTGCTTTACTAATAACAAAGCACGGAGTAGACTTGAGGGAATACTCAAAAGTTTTAATACTACATTTGTTTCTGATTATTTGTGAGAGGATTTCCCATGACAGTATTATTTATTTGTATGTGTTTTGTGTGTGTGTGTGTGTCTACACACACACACACACACACATACATATACAATTCAGGTAAAAGAAATAATTGTCCTAAGGGCAAACACATAAAGGGAATATACATTTCTTTGTACTCAAGTAAAAAAATTTACCCCCCCTCCAAGTCTGCAAATGTTATTCGTGGATTTGGCGATTAGCGGCCATTTTGAGAACCTAGCCCCCGCGAATTTGAAGGGCATGCTGTACAGTATATGGTTTTCTGTAATTATTCTGGTTAATGTAACTGTTCTCTTATAATGCAAAATACCTGTACAGGGATACCTTGTTATTCACAACCCCACTTATTCATAATTGTTATGTTAACCCATGTCCTGCATGTAGTAAAACAATTACAAAATGGTAATGCAGTATTTTTTATTTTTTATTATTTACAGTACAGTACATATTAGTACAGTAGGATCTCATGTTTCGCGACTAATTGGTACCGGTTTTAGCGCCGCGAAACGAGTGACATTGAAATACATATAAATAAGCTTAATCAGTTCTGTGTTGTCACCCAAACCCCCCTATAATGACCTACAACCCACCAAGAAAATTACATTACAGTAATGTATTGATACATATTATACAGTACATATTGTTGATAACAATATTTATATATACTCATACTGTAGAATATCTTACCGTGATGGAATCAGTGAAATGCTTGACGGGGCTGGTTGATGGGTTCCGAGGCAGGGAGGGCTGGTTACTGCTTCCTCCCTGCTCCCTCCTCTACGTCTCTTTTAACCTCAGCATCAAATCCCTCAAAGTCTTGAGACAGCTCTGCCACCAGTAAGTCACCCAACACTGCAATATCATCATCGGTGGTGCCATCATCATTCTTCTGTGCAACTGCAGCATAATAAACACGTGCCTAATGCCTTATCTGTGGCCCAGACAGGTCGCCTTGCTCACGGTTTCTTCTTTCCACCCACTTGTAAAGGAAATGTTCTGTGATAACTAACAGTAGGTTTCGTTGTGAAGTATCGTAAAACGTCCTGCTACTAGAAAATTTGGAGAATATATTCACAGAAGCAGTTAAGGCTTCCTTGTTCTTCTTAAGGGAACGTATGGTTGATTCGGGGCAGTTGAACCTATGCAAGATTTCACAGGTACGAGCACCACTTTTGATCATTTCAAGCATCTCTCTCATTTCAAGGGTGTATTTCCTCCTCTAGACCCCCTTACGGAAGTCACGCTAGGCTTGGGGCTTTCCTTGTTGACCTTCTCTACAGCCATCATTACCACCAGAACCGCTCCCGACATTTACATTACACAATTCACTCATGGTTAATACACAAGAATCGTTAATAGTTAAACAAGAATCTCGCGAAACGTGAACACAATGGGTTATATAATCCAAGGTCACTGCACTGCTCGCTCATTCAAACTAACTGCCGTTACTCCATAAACAAAAAACACTCGGCGGGTCGACGGATAACAAAAGACCTTGACAATGCGCACTGTCCACTCAACAATGTCTCACGAAACTGGTAATGAAAATTGCTATTCTTGAGAGGCTGGAAATTTCTAAAATGATGCAAAAAATATGAATCGCGAATCTAAAACTCGCTAAACTTGAGATCCTACTGTACAGTGATATCCCCGTTAGCCAGAACAATTGGTGCAGAGCACTTTGGGGTGATGAGAGATTTACGGGTAACCAGACGACTTTCTCAAACCCGGAAAAATCCCCCATCCCTGCAAATATTTCTGGTTACTGGAAAAACTTTCCGAGTGTCTAAACTATGCATCTTGCACGGACAAACATAGCCCACATCCTCATAATGTTCCTGTGTGCAGGGGAGTTTTCCAAGAGTCTAAACTAAAAATCTAAAAATCTATATGATATGGTCGTGAATGAAGCTGTGTGTTAGAGCAAAGACTGGCATTTTCCACTCCCTTGGAGCTGTGGGGGATTAGCGGATCTCATATAACTGACCTGACACAATGTCAGGTGGAGGTAAGGTGGGGTATGTGTGGTCTCATATTACTGACCTGATACAATGTCAGGTCACTCCACTGTTGGGTGGGGGATTAGTAGGTCTCAGGACCTGAAGATGTCTTGAATAAACATGAAAGCTAAAATACACTGTTTTTTATACTTACACTTATCACATTGTATCCCTTCAACAATATGTTATATAAGGTTTTAAAATGTAGTGTGAGAAAGCTGAAAGCTGTGGGTGATTAGAGAGTTGGAGTGGAAAGGAGTGGTAACATGCACCAGTGTTGTCAAGCGCTAAGCTCCTCAACAGCTGCTCTTTTAATTCGCCACCACATAGTTAACACGCATAAATTTAATTCATACAATATGGGGGTGTTTGGGTCTCTGGGTGTTATGTAATGTTGAAGGGATACACCTATGCTCATTTATACTTATACTTATCACAATCTTCCTAAAAATACTTAAGGTTTTGTGTTTATTCAAGACATCTTCAGGTCATGAGACCCACTAATCCCTCACCCAAGAAGGGGTGACCTGACATTCCATCAGAAAGTCAGTAACATGAGACCACTAATCCCCAACCCTACCTTCACCTGACATTGAGTCAGGCCTGGTCCCTCCCCCAAAATACTTAAGCTTTTGTCTTTATTCAAGACATTTTCAGAAAATGTTCTCGCTTTTCGACCTCGGGAAATTTTTTCCCAAAGCCAGAATTTTTTTTTTTAATTCCGGCTTTGGGAATGCTTTTCCGAGCAAATTTAAATTCCGGCGATCGGAGAGTTCCGGTTTTGAGGGATTCCGGCTAACGGAGATATCACTGTAGTATTGCCATACTGTATTTTTTTCCTCACATTTACTGGTACAGTATACAATACATACAATCATACTGATGATAAAAGGTATAAAAATAATCCTTTTGGGTGTTATTTAGTATCTTATGGTCCCAATCAGACCTTATTTCCATTATTTCTTATGGCCAAAAATTCCCCACTTTAAGTGGTAATTTTCCTGTCTCTAATAGCCTCAGATAACGAGGAGCTCCTGTATATTGAGTGTACCGTATGTTAAAAAATATATGGTGACAATTGCCAGTTGGGAATACATCCCCCATAATTACATTGACTCTTATGTGGAAAATTGCCTCATTATTCGCATTGACTTTTAGGAATGCATCGGTTGTGATAACTGGGGTATTCCTGCAATTACGCAAGTTACAGTAAGTAGCTTGCATGACTGCCACTCACACAGCTTATCTTCATTCTACATCTTTCTTTAACATCTTCATCCTTAACTCTTCAATCCAAATCCAAAACTTGTAATTTCTGCATATTTCAATGCTACACATTCATAATTTTATTAAAGTTAAATTATTTTACATCAGGTCCTTCGATTTATTTCTTTGATGTGGGATTCACCTGAAAAATTAAGTAAAAGGAAACCATCCTTGTTTGAAGTCAGTACCATTGCAGTTTTATTTTTTACTCTGGGTTACCAGTTGGATATCTAAGATCATTGTTGAGGATATGGAGCATCATACACTAGGAGGTCTTTATCATCATCATCATCAATGTTTTATGGCCATTTTTCATGCTTGTTGGGGCTAGCTGCAGTTACCCGATGACAGCTTTCTATGCTGCATGGTCTCTTGCAACCTCTCTTGTCAGGTTCTTAACTCTAATGTCATTTATTACAACCTCTTCCTATGTCATTCTTGGCCTGCCTCTGGCTCTCCTTCCATCCACAGTTTGACTAGTGCACCACCTCTTGACTCAGGTAGTTTCTTCCATTCTCTCCACATGCCTAAACCATCTCATTCAGCCTTTTTGAAAAGCGTTGCCAATACTCTCAATACCCAGCTGCATTCTTAGCTCTGAACAGGAATTCCTGTCTTTCAGTGTCATAAGGCACATCTGACTCGCCATTCTCATTTCAGCTTGCTCAAGCCTGGATGTGTCTTCCTATTTGACTGCCCCTGTTTCACTGCCATATAGCATCGCACTTCTCATGCCAATTGCTTACATCTTTCCTTTCATGCAGAGGGAAAGTCCTCTTACCATTCATAAAGGCAACAACTCCCAAAACTTCTTTTAGCCACTTCTGACTCATGCAACTGAGCATCCCTTACAGCACTTATCATGTCACCCAGGTAACAGAACTTACCCTCAATGTTAAGTTTCTCCAGCCTTGCTAAGGCCACATCAAATAAAGCAGTAAGAATGAATAAATGACAATGAGTGGAGAATGTGTATGTACTGTACAATTAATTGATTATGGCCACCCAGTATTATGGTACAAAAGGCTATACAATGTATTGCATTGAAAGATTGAAAGTAATCAGTATATGATGATGAAGCAGACAGCTTGTTAACCCAATAACTGTGTGATTTGTGAAAAACAACATATGAAAGCTAAAAAAAAAATATAAAGAAACATTATAAAAACTTTGTACTCATCATGTGTGGCAAGTTATGAGTCAATGAAGTGAGGCAGAGTAACCGGCAACTGCTGAGCCATGGTTGTTGTTGTCATGCAAGAGGTGGTTGTGATGACAAACAACATGGTTGTGATGGTGCAGCGGTGGGTTTTTGTGGTGCAAAGTGGGTGGTGAGTCAGGCTGTTGCATCGTAAGTGTGGGTGAGGGGCCGCTGAGAACAGTAGGAGGAGGAGGAGGAGGCATAAATAATTCCAAATCATTCCAAGATGATGATAGTAAGTGATTTGAGGCTTCACCAGCCTTCTGTCTCACTCTAGAGTGTCTACCAATCATCGACTTTCTATTCTTATTATGATTTTGGGCACAGCTTTAAAGTTATGGCCCCCCAATGCCAGTTGTCTAAAGACGACATTAGTGCAATTTCGGTAAAGCAGCCAAAGACGATGATAGCAGTTAAAAGGTTAAGAGAGTTTAGGTATAGCAGCCATTTGTTAAAATTTACTGTTGACCTACACTTCATAGACCTACATTATTTTATTAAATGCTTAAGATAAATAATATTTCAACATTGAAGATACTCTTTTATTTATGTATACGGTACATAGAGGACAAATACATTACAGTCTCACAAAAGAAATAGTAATCAACACATCATATCCAACTAAATTTTAAGTGGCTTACATAACATTTTTATTTCAGCAATTTTATTCCATAACTCATTAGCCTTTCAGTCTGATAACTAAAGATCATGAAATTATTTCGGGATTTTCCTTTACTGGAATATATTTAATCTTAAGCAGTTTAAGAGAATGAAATTCGGTTAACATTCACCGAGGGATGCTTGGAATATGGTATTATGCATCAGAATTAAATATGGTGTAATAAGAGCATTAAATCCCTTTTGTTCTAGACAGATCAAACAAATATTTATAATGACTTATGAGGTGCCATTTGTCTGTGTCTATCATGTCTCTTCAGTCCTAGTAAGTTGCTGACCACTTAGCACTTGTATTCAGACTGTATTACCTGAGCACATTGAAATGCTGTAGCAGTTATTAGTTAGGGAGGTTGCATTTAGACTTAGAGTACTTATATTTAGCTAATGTGATGTGAGATAGGTTAAAAAAATAGGTCAAGCAGTGTGTGCTTAATATGTGGGTGTGCTCAAAGCTGTCAACAAGCAGGGTATCAGATGACATGGCTACAAACAAAGACACCAGTGACCAGACTAAGAAGATTTTACAATACACATTGGCTGACTAAGTAATTACAGTTGATGACAAAGACACGATGGCATTTGGTTGTTAACATTTATAATGTAATTCTAGTGAGGAAAAAAAATTATCAGCCAGTCTTCCGTACCTTTTTGCATTACTAATATATTTTACTAGATAAGTTTTCATACTGTCATGTATATATATATATATATATATATATATATATATATATATATATATATATATATATATATATATATATATATATATATATATATATATATATATATATATATATATATATATATATATATATATATATATATATATATATATATATATATATATATATATATATATAACTTGATTTAGGATATCAATGCAATATATTTGCATATTCACTAAAACATATTAAGTTTTAAGTTTTCTCTGTTACACTTAAATTTTGTTGAAACACTTGAAAATAATTCTCAGATTAATAAATTACATTGAGGCACCTCTGTCTTGATAGATTGTGTCCTTAAACATCAGTCCCCAGCTGCTGACAGTATCAAAACTAACAGTAAAAAATTCTTCAAACCTCAAACATCTACCTCAAAGATATAAAAGTAACCAATAATGGTAATAAATAAGATAACCTATTTGGGAATACACAATAGTACTAAAAAACAAGTTTAAAAATTAGTTTACATTCGTATTAAAAATTAGACAAAATAAGCATTCATTTAAACAGAAGAATTGCACTAGAAGTGCAGATGATATCCCTGTAAATGAAATTATGTTGTATTTATTTGTTACAAATGAACTTATAACAAAATATAAAATTGCCACAACAAAGTTTCAGATCATCTCCTAACATTTCAAATGAGTTATACTGATGTCTAAACCACTTAGGCACCCAACACATTCATATGACATGTTTAGGCTTTGTGGTGCTTTTGGTCACACATTACATTTTACTGTACATATTTATCTTTTAATATTAAGTCAGATTTTCTGAAGGAAACTGGATGTGATTTTGAATCCTTGTCACAACACTCACTTGGACATGCAAATCTCTGACAACAATACAGTAATACTATGCTCTATATTCAAGTATGACATGAACATAAATATTATAATCATACATACATCATCTCTTGGCACAAACATTGTATACTAGTATGTTCCTTGTACAATCTTGATGGAAGGGAATCATTCACAACATATAAAAAAAAATGTCATAAACCTTTTATGAAACTTTTATGTAAAATGACACATACACCGCTTTATTACTCATGTTATTGGTTAATAATGTAATTTTAAAAGATATTTATACCTATATTGTAATTTGGTTAATTGAGGATGGGGTTTCCTTTTCAATGGGTCTTGTCTTTGGTAAAATATATATAAAAGTACTGTAATGTAATGCTTACAAATAATAAATATAATAGGTTGAGTATCAAAATAAATTGACAGGAGGTAGATATAGTTAGCACAAAGGTGCAGGTAACTGTCGTTCATATTTATTAGATTATCATTGAAATTATCATTTACAGTAGTTGCTCTCCATTTTAACACATGTATTAATTTATACTTCAAAATTCAACATCATTGTTAAGTGCATAGCCCATTTAAAATAATCTTTCAATCTGGTGATTCATGGTTTGTGAGTTAATAGACCAGTTGGCTCTGGGAGTCCATCGAAGCACTACCATACTGTGGAAGAAGCAAGGAGAGTGTCCTCATTTCATTGTTGGTAATGCCTCTGGCCACATTTACACTACATCATCACCAATTAGTCATAGTTTGCAGCTTTCTTTCATTTACTACCATTTCTCATTCTTAAAGTATAATTTTAATTTATTCCTGATTTTCAAAACAAGCAAGTGATGACTGCTTCACTTATGGCACTCAAACCTTCATATGATAATGAGTAAAAGTAGGTCCCACATGCCTGACAATATAACACACTCTTATGGACATTGTGGATAAAGCACACTTATATTCCACACACCTGAGCCCAGTTACAAGCTTGGAGTAAACAAAGTACAGGAGTATAGCTTCAGTACACAAGGAGACAAAGTGGCCAGCACTGCTCTCTACCACCTTTCACTTTCCCAACAAGTATTTTGTCAAGTCTTACAGACAAGGAAGGCTTATGGTTGAAATGCTAGCAGAAAATTCTACTTGTGACCACCTTTCAAATTCCAGAGGGAGCAGTGCATTACATTCATTTACTGTATAATCTAAATTATTTTCCTTGATGAAAATTAATATGAAATACTGTAGTATACAGTACTTAAATAACACATACTGTACAGTACTATATATACTGTATAATGAGTAGAGTAGATGAAAGGTATACTTCTTTGCAAGCTATAGATTGCTGAACTTGTATATTAAGTGAGCCAGTGTGCAAATTAATTATAATATTTTTAAGTATCAAGTGTTAATTCTCAGGTGTAAAAGCTATACAAAGATTTGAGTGCTTAGAGAAACTACAAGTGCAGCCCTGATGTACAGTACTGTATGTATATGCAAATGTAAAAATACATAATTTATATTTTACCATTAGTGGTGTAATTTTCCTGTTAGTGTTAAATGTTGATACCAAACATACAATATGTAGCAGTTAATAATTACACTGGCCCCAAAAAGTTATGAAATTGATTCATGCAAGTTAAGTGATTGTCAAAAGTATTTTTATTTATTTTTTTTTTTTTACAACAATACAGGTCATAACTTATTTGGCAAAAAGCTATACTGTATTCACTCCCAAACTGAATATAAATATACAACTACTTCTAATTTACAAAATAATATAATATATTACATAAACTTTGTATGTACAGTATGTATAAATAGGTAATATTACTTCTGTTTTAAGAGTGTTTATCAAGTCCATGGAATGAATATATAAATATATATGTACACACAAACATACCTCTACATACCACCTCACCTCTCTACTATTTTTGTCACACTGCCAAACCCTAAATACAGTGAGTAAATTATTGTCCAAAAATTCAGATATCATTAGAGTACTGTAAATCAATTTAAATGAAGCATGGGGATATATATATATATATATATATATATATATATATATATATATATATATATATATATATATATATATATATATATATATATATATATATATACACACAGTAATACCTCGCTTTACGCGGTCAATTGAATCCACGGAGGCCCGCGTAAAGTGAACAACAGAACATATGGGATTAATCGAAATAGAGACTGGGCCGACCCCCAAACTCCACTTTTTCCCGACACAATACGTACGTTTTAGTAAAAATAACATCTTAACTTTATGATGGTATGCACACATAATATAGAAGAGAAATATCAATAAGAGAATAATATACTGTACCAGGTAAAAGAAAAATCAAGGTTTAAAACTTATGTAAGGTTAGGTTAGGTTTTAAAAAATCTAGGTTTAACACTTACGTAAGGTTAGGTTATGTTTTAAAAAATCAAAGTTTAACACTAACCTAAGGTTAGGTTATGTTAGGAAAAATCTAGGTTTAACACGTAAGGTAAGGTTAGGTTATGTTAGGAAAAATCAAAGTTTAACACTTACGTAAGGTTAGGTTATGTTAGGAAAAATCAAGGTTTAACACTAACCTAAGGTTAGGTTAGGTTATGTTAGGAAAAATCTAGGTTTAACACTTATGTAAGGTTAGGTTATGTTTTAAAAAATCAAGGTTTAACACCAACCTAAGGTTAGGTTGTGTTAGGAAAAATCTAGGTTTAACACTTACGTAAGGTTAGGAAAAATCAAGGTTAGGTTTAGCACTTACATTAGTAGAAGAGATGGGTCGGGGAATGGAGGCTGGTTCCGAGGCAAAGGACAGGCTACTGGCCCTCAGGTGAGTCACCATCACTGTCATCCACACTTATCAGGGCCTCCCTGACAAATCCCTCAAAGTCACCATCACTGTCTCTGTCACTATCACTGGCCTGGGCTGGCTGTGGTGGGTTGCGGGCGAAGAACTCGGTAATGCTTTGTTGCCGGCTAGTGTTGATGTTGTCGTGATACACCTTGATGTACGGCTCCATAATCTGCAACAGCTGGGTAGTGAAGACTTCATACCGGTTATCGTCAGGGTCGTCGGAAAGGAGGAGCTTCAGTTTCTCTACACACTCGATGGCACCCCTTACATTACCATGCGATAACTTGCGTTCTTCTCGGGATGATGCACCGCCTGTCTCTTCACTGGCGTCATCGTCTTCTAACATCTCGTCGGCAGTCACATCAGGATCCCTTATCACCTCCATAATGTCGTCGTTGGTGGTCTCGGAGAAGCCGTTAGCTGTAACACTCTGCGCAGCTTCTCTGGCAAGGTCCACTGCTACTGCAACAGTCTGAACCTCACCAGTCACAGATTGACTCTGCTTCCCACCTGGGATACCTTGCAACACATGTCTCCATGCGTGACGAACCGTTGCTACAGACAGCTGATCCCATGCCTCCACCAAGAAGTCCACAGCTTTCTTGACATTGAATTTCCTCCAAAAGTGTTTCACAAGAACTTCTTGCTCTGCCAACTGTTGTTCCTCATCCTCTTTGCTCTTGCTCTCGGTGTCACCCAGGTTACGCAACTCATCCTTGGTGTTGGTATAATCGTTCAAGAGCTTAAACTTCTTTGCAGAGAATGCAGCTTTCACATTGCAGATTAATTCTTGGTCCATGGGCTGGATTAATGACGTAGTGTTGGGAGGAAGGAAGACCTGGTGCGTTGTCAAGCAGCAACAAAATCTTGAATGGAACATTCTGTTGCTCACAGAATTTCTTCACATCAGGAACAAAACAGTCATCAAACCAGGAGAGGGACAGAGTAGAGAACATCCACGCCTTACGTGCGGTCAGCCAGTGGACATTTAGCTTGGTCATGTCCATGTTCTTTTAGGCATGTGGCTTGCGGGCTGTGTGGATCACCGATAACTTGAGTTTACAGGTACCGGAGGCATTGGTGGTAAAGAGGACGGTGATGCGCTCCTTGTGCAACTTCCGGCCCTGACACTTGCTGGCAGACTTGACAACGAAGGTCTTGGAAGGTAGCTTTTTCCAAAAGAGACCGGATTCGTCCATGTTGAACACCTGGTCGTCGGTGTACTGTCCTTCCTCCATAATCTCACGTAAGAACGGAGGAAAATCCCTAGCCGCAACACGGTCAGCACTCGCT